CGACATTACAACATCATCCTCCTGCATAGGTAGGCCTAAATAAAATGTTTTTAATTGTGTACCAGTTTAACGTTGAAATTATTTATGATTTTAACTTTATACACAAGTGCCAAAATACTATGAATATAGTGTGGTTGGAATACTATTATTTTACACTCTTCTAATTCATAAGGCACTAGATAAAGAATATGGTGTTAAAATATATATATTAGGCCTAACATAGTCTAATTGCAAGTATAATTAGTTTTCACTAACTTTACTTGAATGAAACTAATTTTACTGTTTTCTCAGTAGTAAACGGTAAAACACAAAATTTTGTAGTTTCATCAAATACTATTACAGAGAAGTTTTCCAGAAAACATTTTTTTTTATTAAGACAATTCTGACATTCAACGAATGGGTAACTGCATTATGATTTTCACAGAATTATAGTTTGTTACGCAGGCTGGTTTCCTATTTGATGTACATTAGAAACTTGTTGCCATTGTATATTTGAAATAATAATGACGTACGCCGAATACAAAAGTAAATCACAATTTCTTTGATTCTGTTACTGTAGTACTACAAGTTATCAGAATGTTGTATCACAGTTTTCTGTCATTCATTGTATATCTGTTTACGTATCACGGTGTGTTATCAGGTAGAATATTAAAATCGTAAGTAAGAGTTATGTCTTGGGACTGTTTTTATGTTGACAACTTATGAGGTTTTTTTTTCATTATTTTTATATTTATGTTTATATTTATTATTCAGTTACTTAAGCTTTTTTTTCTAACGTATTTATCTTCTTTTTTTTCCAATTGCTATTTCTGGTGGTTTTGTCTCTTTACCACTCTATGATAGTTTTCTGATGTACTTTGGTATGTTGGTTGTCTTTATTTCTATCTCTAGATGAATAAAAATTTTATTTACATCCTAATTAAACCTATTTTTACTTACGAGTTTCCAATTATTACAGCTTTTGAGTGTTCCAACAATCTAAGTAATCAAGGTATTGTCATTATTATTTCTCATTATTTTTATTTTTTGATTGATTCACATTTTTTTGGCTTTATGCCAACACGTTGTAGCGATTATTGGGGTTGTCTCATAATTCGAGGGTCTCGGGATTAATTCCTGTTACCACCAAACGTGCTTGCCTTTTCAGCCATGGGGTCATTATATTTATTTCTATTTGAGTTAATGGTAAATCTATTACAGCTACTTGTCACCAGCCATAATTTTGAACTGCTGATCAGAAGAAAAGTAATCACTCGGTAGCACCCTTCATCGATTCTTGGGCTAGTTTAGTGTTAGATAAAGAGTAAATATACCCATTTTTACATTGTTTCATGTTTATAATTTTTGTATCTTATATTTGTAATATTACACCTCAATTTACTGAATTTGTGTCCCGGTGGAAGATGTGATAGCACTGACACATTTTCAACCTGCAACTATCTGATTGCAGAACGAATACTCACAAACCATTATCCTTTATACACTTAGTCAACATCTAAATCATGTGATAAATTATGTACGTAAATATACTATTCAGTTTTAAATGAAGGATAACAAAATCAGTAAATCAATATAGAATTAAAATTCAAGTATCAGTCATTTTGTTAATGTAACAAAACAAAAACATGATTTATACATTTCATTGTAAATTGTAATTTTTATTCATACAAGCTGAGTTACTGGTTCTTAGTCTGTGTTATGAACTTAAAAAATTGTGGGGGTGGATGCTCTGATAAATAACACAAAAATCCTAACTTTCACATAATCTATTTATAACATAACATATTATTACAGTATTCATTATTATAACATATTATTACAGTATCCATTATCATAACATAACATATTATTACAATATTCATTACTATAACTTAACATATTATTACAGTATCCATTATTATAACATAACATATTATTACAGTATTCATGATAATAACATAACATACTATTACAGTATTCATTATTATAACATATTATTACAGTATTCATTATTATAACATATTATTACAATATTCATTATTATAACATATTACAGTATTCATTATTATAACATATTACTACAATATTCATTATTATAACATAACATATTACAATATTCATTATTATAACATAATTACAATATTCATTATTATAACATATTACAGTATTCATTATTATAACATATTATTACAGTATTCATTATTATAACATATTATTACAATATTCATTATTATAACATAACATATTATTACAACATGATATACACTGTGTGATGGTCAGGGTGACTGTAGGAAGAGGTAGTGGCTCTTAATATCCTTCCACTGTGTTTCATATGATTAATTAATTGATGGTCATTGACTGCAGAAGTGTCTTATGGGCAGAAGTTGAAAGGTCACTGGTCAAAGTAGGAAGTGGGTATAACTCAAGAAACAGCTCTTCATATCAGCCTTATGGTGGCTGTTGGAATAGAAACTTTAGGTGAGTTTTATGTATTATTGCACTAGTGGTACCCATTTTTTTCATTGCATTCCTCCATAGAGAGTGCTAGCACATTCTTTGAGATGTATGACGTTTGTGTGCCCTCCCATATAGAAAATTTAATAGTTTTTTTGTTTTGTTTTGGTGCAAGGACTTGGTGTCATCTATGAATGTAGTTAACATTAACTTATGTCAAAGATAATAAATGTTTGTAACAGCAATAATGTAGTTGGAAGGGTTGTGAACCCCAATTAATGTCTTTTGTTCCAAACTATCATCCCACAAAGTTTGGTTGAGGTCAGCCCAGTGACCTAGGAGTAGTTGGATAATGGACAAACAGACACACAGGTTTTTGTGTTTTATATATAGAGATATAATGGCATTATAAAAGTGTATTCCATTACCGATAACTTAAAAATAGGCTGTGATGCATGTAAACTTCATAAGGCCTAGGGAAAAAAAATGTGTTTGTAATAACTTGACTGACCCTGGTAAAAAAAGGACCCAACCTTAAAAATATTAGGCCATTTCTTTCAAACATGTCCATTGAATATAACTATGAGAAAGTTTTGTAATGAACCTGTCCACAGAACATAGCCTTGATTGAAACTAACTATTATAAGTATTATTTATAATAAATACATTAATTATCCTACATTATATAGTAAATATTTACTATATAATATTTTATTTTAATGTATATACTACAAATAGATTTTTAGGCTCATCGGTATTAGTTGTCTGTTTCTTCGATGCTGATTTAATACATATATTTTTACCAGTAAATATTTTCTATATAATATTTTATTTTCTTGTATATACTACAAATAGATTTTTAGGCCCATCAGTATTAGTTGTCTGTTTCTTCAATGCTGATTTAATACATATATTTTTACCAGTAAATATTTACTATATAATATTTTATTTTAATGTATATACTACAAATATATTTTTAGGCCCATCGGTATTAGTTGTCTGTTTCTTCAATACCAATTTAATACATATATTTTTACCATTAAAAAGGATCGTATTTGGAATATAAGTTTTGGTGCCCGATGCAAATCACTTTTTATAATTTTTTTCTTACTTTAAGAACTTCCCAACCTCTTCAACTTATTTCGTATGTAGATTTTATTTTTTGCCAGTTCCAAATAACTTTGCTAAATCTATATAGTGTTTTAAAAATACACAGTTTACATTAGACGTTATTTTATTCTATCATGTTGTACTAATAAGTCTCAGTGGAATAATTTATTGTATGCAGTTTCCCAATTTATAGAATTTTACTCTCCTTTTTTTATTTTTACAGCACACTAGTTTCGCTTTATTGATGGGAACTCTACTAGTATCCTGTAACAGTTCCTTAAAGTAGCCTTCTCTAACAACACTATCCAGCTGTTTACATAATACTAGTAAGTGTAGTAGCATTTAGCTAATTATGTTTGGATGTGTGTCTTTTACTTGATGTCGTTGTTAAATAAGGAACTTCCTTGCTCCGAGAAGTAGCTTAACATGCAGTGTTTATGGGCCTCTCGTACTCATGCTTTCACATATTGTGTTGAACAGTGAAACATTTTCACACAACAGGTCAGTAGGGCATGAAGTGTAGTGTGGCTAGAGCAATGATCAGACTGTTTATTGTATGCTCTGTTCTACAGTTTACTCACCATACACAGAAATGAAAACACAGTTTGTTGCATGAAGAGAACACTCACTTTTCTTGATCTGGCTAGTCAAAACACTGGGGAAACTGGTGTATTATATAATAGGGGTGACCTGTACTACACAGCCATAATTCCCATGGCATTGTGCTTCCCACTTAGATTCTATCCAGAGGGATTGCTTAACTGATGGGGAACCCTCCAATTTGATCACCTCAACAGCTAGAAACTGGGAGTGGCAAGGGTCTCCTGTGTTCCACTTGATAATCAGGATGGGATTTCTCTTTGGGGAGACACTGGAGAAATGCCCAGACCCAGTCAGACTTAATCACTGAAAAGATCTTTTACTGTAGAAAGTGCAGTTGGTTACTGCAAAACATAATTGTAATGGAAATTTGTTGGGAGAAACCCACATAATGCAATCAATGATATTTTCAGTTTGATACAGGTTTTGTGCTATATTGCATCTACAATACATCAGTTTAGGGTTATCAAAGAAACTTAATCCTATATTATTGTATGTGAAGACAGGATTTCCTCTAGCTCTTCATATATTTGTGCTATCACTTTTTCAAAGTTATTATTTTTTGCCCTTTTCATTCTTTAGCCACAGAACTATACATCAATTTTATGTTTTAATTCTAACTCTATTTCAACAAGTTTAACTCAAAAATATATTACAATCAACATTTTGTAACTTTTATTTAGTGTAATTCATGAAGCAAATTGAGAAAAAATGTTCAAATATTCATTCCAATAGGATACCTTACCTCACCTCGCATACTATCTTTTCTCGATTGATGCTGCCTTTTATATGCCCAAATTTTTGCATGCCATTAGTCTTGGTACTCCTGCCTATCCCCATGTGTTTAAAATGCTACAGGTTGTGACAACCCTCCACCAATAGGACACACTGTCTGGGTGCAGCAGTCTCCCCCTGGATTACAGTCTAACCTCCCTTCTGGATTTGGCACTCAAGTGTTTAGATGTTTTTCTCACCTCTGTTTGAGTTTTCAATGAATTTGCAGTTTGTTCCAGCAGCTTAAACTGCTACTACTATCTGTTCCTTCTGCTCAAGTTTCGAAGGCAAATCATCACAGTATTTGTTATCAGTGGTATTGATGACTATCTTGTTGGTACAGAACTTGTAGGGGCCAGGCTGTTCAATTTTATTCACATATGGAGAACCTTTACTGCAGACCCTTGGTGGTTTCTACAGGTCTTATCAGAAGGACTCTACCTTCTTTTCCATACACTTCCTCCCTTATCTCCTTTTGCCAGTTCCTTTTCCTCTTCCATGGGATCCCATATTCAGCGAGCGACTTTTCAAGACAGTTCAGAGCCTTCTTTTAAAAGGTGCTTTAGAACCTGTGGCTCAGTTCCTTCAAGGGTTTTATTCTCGGTTGTTTGTTGCCCCCCAAAAAGACAAGGGACTAGCAGCCAATCATTGACTTTTCCCATTTGAACTGTTACATAGACTTTCCTCAATTTACCATGGAGTCATTCCTTTCTCTCTGGTCAGAATTTACTGCATCCCATTGGTTTGTCCACAAGGACCAGGTCTACCAATTTAGAGCTATTCCTTTTTAGTTGGGTGGGCACAGGTTTTGCCAAATGGCTCTACTCTTGAGGGTTTTGTTTATATCAATACATGGACGACTGGCTTCTTCTAGCTCCCTCAATGGCAGTTTCTTCCTGCCATACTCAGTTTCTTCTCAGAGAAGCTGCATGGGTAGGTTGGCTGATCAAGCTAGAAATCTGTGCTGACACTGACATGATATCTTGTTCTACTTGGGGTCCTTTTCTACTCCTACTTTAGTTATCCCAACCTTCTCTGATTTAGCTACAGTCTTTGGAACTGGCAGTTCAGAAAACACAATCTTCTCCTACTCTACCTGGATGGGAGGTTCTATTGCTTTTGAGGAATTGAGTGTCCTTGGAAATACTTATTCCCTTGAGTTAAGCCCACATGAGGGGTTTTTAGTGAGCATTACATGATCAATGGGACCTTGCCAGGGATCCTCCAGTTTCTCCTGTCTACCTTCCTCCCGCTCCTTCCAATGATTTTGCCTGGTGACTAAACACAGATATCACCACAAATACTTTTCCACCTCTGAGACTGGATTTACACCTTTTAACAGATGCCTATCTGATGAGCTGGGGAGCATAGTTGGATTCTCAAGAGATCTCAGGTTCTTGGTTGCCAGTCAAGTCCAAGTTTCATATCCATCTGCTGGAACTTTTATCCGTTCATCAAGCTTCAGATCATTCTGACAACACGACCTATGGTCTCTTACATCACCTGGCAAGGAGGTACCTATTCTCAGTCCCTTTGATTTCTTCTGTTCTGAGATCACAGCCAGCATGTTCACCTGCAGGCTTCTCATATCTCGGTTGCTCTCAATTATCTCTTGGATCAGTTATCTCATCCCAACAGGATTTTTCCAATGGAATGGTTCCTCAATCCATGGGTCTTCCAGTGGGTACACCTCAGTTGAATGTGTTTGCTAACCATAAGAACACTAAACTCCCTCTCTTTTAGTCACCAATCCCACGTCCTTCAGTGTTAGCAGTAGATGCTTTCAGCCAGGATTGGAAAGACTTACATTTAGGCCTGTCTTTCCATCTGTTTACTTCCCAAAGTGTCAAGTCCATTCTGGCCTGTTCCAACTTGGTTCCCATTACTACAGCCACTACAGTTGTCACAACTGTTAACTCTTCATCCCACCTCATCTCTCCTTCGTCAACTACATGCATTTGTTCATTCTCACATTCTGGCTTAACAAGTGGCTTTTATCCGGTTCCCTAGATTGATATTTGTGTTTGTATCATGTCTGATAGATGGAATATCAAACCCCTAATTTGATCTTCTGTAGTGGTTACCTAGTTTGATATTTGTGTTTGAATCATATCTGATAGATGGAATATCAAACCCCTAATTTGATCTTCTGTAGTGGTTGCCTAGTTTGATATTTGTGTTTGAATCATATCTGATAGATGGAATATCAAACCCCTGATTTGATCTTCTGTAGTGGTTACCTAGTTTGATATTTGTATTTGAATCATATCTGACAGATGGAATATCAAACCCCTGATTTGATCTTCTGTAATTGTTACCTAGTTTGACAATTGTGTTTGGATCATATCTGATAGATGGAATATCAAACCCCTAATTTGATCTTCTGTAATGGTTACCACTTCGACATCTGTGTTTGGATCATATCTGATAAATGGAATATCCCCATTTTTGGGTGCTATGACCACAGACATTTTCTGTTAATAATTAATAAAAAGAACCAGCAATGGGCAAATTTTTTTCTCTCTCTTCTTTTTTTTTAAGTTAGAACGTCATAAAAGATATCTTGGTTTTGGTTTTATACTATGTTATATGTTATTGTTATATGGTGCTGATTTGATTGCCTATATAAAACTAATGTAATTTAGTGTTAGAACTATTTACATACTTCTGAAACAAGGAAGTCGTATGATTAAAAATTGCTTTATCAGCTTATTCATGGTGTCTTTGAACCCTAAGGTTCTGCTTTAACAAAACATACAAGTGATGACTGCCACAAGATGTCTATCATATTTAATGAAGGGTTGTTCTAAAACTGAATAATCCAGTGGTAACCATACTTTTGTTGCTGGAATACCCCTTTTTAAGTATAATACAAACTTCCATACCCCATTGATTCTAGTACTGAAAATAAAACAAAATAATGTTTTATTATTATTATAATCTTTTTTATTTTTTTACTGAAGTCGTTATTATTACTGCTGTTAGTAATTATAATTCACAAAGTGTGGATGCATAAAAACATTACAAATATTACTTAATTACAACAGTAAAAAAATAATACATTGTCCTTAGGAATTAACTGATTAACAATTCTAATTGTATGTGGTGTGTCTGTGTTGCTGTGTGTTTCTAGTTGATTCCTCATGACAAACATTCAAATTATTATTGATTTTTGTTTTTGACATTTTTGAGTTTTCAAATCATCTAGTTTTACTTAGGGCTGTTTTTTTATTTTATAGTCAGAATTTTTCCTGTTGAATAAATTATCTTAAATTACTAACATTAAATTTTTTGGTAAATTACGTGCTTAACCTGAATACTTTGTTAATACTGTTACGTCTCTGTATGTTCGTTTGTTAATTTTCCTGCGATACAAGTCCTTTCTTAAATAAAACTAGTTTATTCTTCCTTAATACAACTTTGCAATAAATTAATTTCCACAGTTACTTTAACTTAAAAACACTCTATAATTCACATCAATTCACTCACTTTACTACCGCGCTTGACTTAATTGTCCGTCTCTATCTCCGCCTGTCAGCAACTTTAGTTACAATCTCTGTATCTGCTGTCCTTGGTTCCCCCACTCTCTCTCTCTCTTGTCTAGTGCACTTGTATACGATAATATCGCCCGCGTAGTCTCTTCGAGAATCTTCTAGGCACTCATCACGTGCTACCAGCGTCACTTGACTTCTACTGTCGTAACACAAACACGTGCAAAGCATGCATTAGCATTTTTCATGAACCTATAGATAATCATTACGTGTTACCAATGTCATGTGACTTCTGCTGTCGTAACAATACCTCAACCTGAATACCTTGTTAATACCTCAACCTGAATACTTTGTTAATACCTCAACCTGAATACTTTGTTAATACCTCAACCCGAATATGTTGTTAATACCTCAACCTGAATACTTTGTTAATACCTCAACCTGAATACCTTGTTAATACCTCAATCTGAATACCTTAAATCAAGTTATAGTTTTACAGACACTGGTATAATACTCAAAACTCAATGACATATCTTCGGAGGTTTGCAAATCAAGAATGTGTACTTAATCTATTTTTATATGATATCTATTATGTATAATCATAACTTCATCTTTTGTTGACATTTTTATCTTTTAACCTGTATCCATACAAAGAGATGACAATACTCAAAACTAAAGAGGTATTAACAAGGTGTTCAGGTTGAGGTATTAACAGGGTATTCAGGTTGAGATGTTAACAAGGTATTCAGGTTGAGGTATTAACAAGGTATTCAGGTTGAGGTATTAAAAAGGTATTCAGGTTGAGGTATTAACAAGGTATTCAGGTTGAGGCATTAACAAGGTATTCAGGTTGAGGCATTAACAGGGTATTCAGGTTTAGGTATTAACAAGGTATTCAGGTTGGGGTATTAACAAGGTATTCAGGTTGAGGTATTAACGCAAGTTTTATATATACATTGGTAAAGACACTAAATGTACTTTATCTTCATTCAATAAAATCAAGATTAAAAAAAACATAGAATTTGTGTTTTTTCAAATTTTGTGATCAAGAGACTAAAGTAAGAGGTTACATTAGAAAGTCAAGTGAAATAAGCCATAGAAAGTGTGTAAATGAAATGGTTCACTTCCATGATTTCCATTTGTAATTTTAATGTTTTCAGGTGTAAACTGTGAAAGCTTTTCTTTCAAAGAAGATCTGCTCTATAGAAATACGAAATGGCATCCGAGTCTGGAGAGGAAGACAATTCAGATCCATCATTCCATCTTGGTGCAGTGATGATGGACCATTGTTATTCTGTACTTCATGAGGAATATATGAGACGCTTTAGACTGACTGAGTATGTTGTCTTCCTTTAGTTTTAGTCTACTGGAGATAGAAATGTCAGTGTTCTAATTTTTGCCATAAATACACCTTTTTTCTGTTAATTAATTCAAGGAGTAAATTGGTTCTGACTTACTTGTCTTCGTGTACATTTATGAAATGTAGTGATATAAATAGATTACTTAATCTTGTCTTTTTATGTGACAGGACCAAATACTTTTGTGAAAACATTTTAGTAATACCATACATTCCTTGTTGTGTGTTAGCGAGTACCATTTGTAGTACAGCACTTATAATTTGATTACTGAAAATGTAAAAAAATTTCAATTAGCTGACTTACCCAGTGGTTTGTAGGTTTTAATATGTACTCTTCTTGATTTGATCTTAAATGTAAGATGTCAAAAAATATGGTGTTTTTGTGGAAGAAGCTGGTGAATGATCACACTGATATGTGCCACTAACTGATATATATAATCCTGTTCCACTTCCCTTCCTCTAAAAACCAAGTTAGCATGAGTTTTACTTCTTTTTTTTTCTTACATCTGTGCATTATCCAGTATTAAAGGCTATTTTAAATGAATGCATCGTAGAGTATTGGCCGTAAAATCCGTACTGAAAGCCACAGTAACAACATTCAGTTATTGCCACAGCACTAACTAATCATGTTAAAAACTGAAAACTTGGCCCAACATTTTAATTGTAGTTTTTAAGTTACAAGTTTTGTTTATTTTCACAATATATATATATATATTTTCTCACTTGGGATTAGAACCCGAGACCCGTCTCATGCCACTTGGTTAACACTCTACCTCACTTGGAACAGCATTCAACCAATGCTTCTTAACAACTCAAACCCCTATGTACCAATAAAAAATAAATCACTGACATAACCCTGAAATCTGATCATTGACAATACATGGTGCCACTACCTGATGCATAACAGTGTGCAATCATTTTGTAGGACATTGGTTGGTTGATATTGGCTAAACGTTATTCATATCCTTCATTATTTTTTGGTTCGTGGTTTGATAGACATTCCAAAGACATTTTTAGCTTATAAATTATTATTTGTGGATAAATCATAACATTTGATTATATGTTTGTTTATCAGAATGTGAAATCGAGCTTTTGGTTATTTTTCGGAAATTTTTGTGAAACCACAAGAATAATTTTGACTGACTCTACTCCCCACCCCTTCATTTGAGTAACTGATTTCACAAATCCATATTTTTTTTCTAATATCTCGCATATTGATTAATTCTAAATAAAGTTTTGAAAATATATTTTCCATTGGATAAGCTGCAGCTCATAATTATCTTTATTGCATTGTTTGCCTCTATATGTAGGGCTCACTCTTTAAATTGACAATGTAGCAAGTTTGTGACATTGTTTCGTATTAATTAGTTTATTTTGTAAAACAAATGTTTTTTGGATGATACCTGATCTTCAGATGTGTGCGTGGAGGGTTACACAACTTGAAGTCTGACTCGTACATTAGTTGCACTATTAGAAGTGTTTTGTTAACTTCTCTGAAACCGAAGTTCATACTTTAATACTTCAAGAAATAGTGCTCCCCAGTGGCACAGCGGTATGTCTGCGGATTTACAATGCTAGAAACCGGGTTTCAATACCCACGGTGGGCAGAGCACAGATAGCCTGTTGTGTAGCTTTGTGCTTAACTTCAAACAAACATCAAGAAATAGTTGGCTATAAGACTATGAAAGAAAAATAACATAGTACCTGAAGTACTCTTAATTTTGTGTGATTTCCCAGTTGCATCACACACCCACACAGTTTATTGTACCAGTAATTCTGGTTTCTTCTTACACAGATATAATTTTATCTTGTAGCAAGCTTATGATGCCATCTGATATTCATTTTAAGATTAAAAATTGAACTATAGTTAGTGTAGGCTTTACTTCAATATTGTCTCCACGATACAAAAATGGACAAGACACGTTTTTTTCAAATTGTTGACACATAACCTGAGCCATAAATATGACTTAAACTGAATAATTAAAATTAGATGAAAATTCTCAATTAGAATAGATTCACTTATAACAGATTTGGATGACTCAAGCTTGGTTTTTCTTGTCTTTGAATCAACTTACTTCAGCCCTGCAAAACGAAAATGTGAGAAAAAAAATCCAAAACATGCAACACAGACTAAAACAACAGTTGGTAGATTGTCACATTAATTCTAAATTGTAACAGTTTGGTTACAACTTGGAGGGAAGCTAATTTCCAATTTGGAAAGGTGGTCTTTTACGTTTCTCATACAATTATCTATTTATTGGACTACACTTTGCACAAAAAATTAAAGATTCACAATGGTGAATACTGTAAATAAGTACATAAGGTAATGGCATTTTGGTTGTGACATTTGGATATCAATCGTTTTTGTGGGTACTAGCCACTGCAATCAGCTATGTCTAATTATTAGTTAGTGGAATATTGTTCCATTTAAAAGAAACATACTACATCATTAAAATTGGACAGTGATGAAAATACTTGACCAACCTACTGTGTACGTGCAAGCCTACTGGTACATTGTGTCCATAAATACTAGTTCTCTCTACTGATGTGTACGGAGGGCTTCTAGTAAAGTGGTAAGTGCATGAGCAAATATGTGTGTTGAGTGGCATAGGTGGTCAAAAAATCTTATGTCTGAAAGTACACGAAATTTTATGTATACCACATTTATCCATGTAATTCAATTTTATCTTCCAAAACGTTAATTATATAACTTCATTTTAATTGACGAGTAAATGTTACTTGACAGTTCTAATTTTGTTTAAACACATTACCTATTTTTATTGACCATGGTGAAACATAGGGCAAACATATTCATTACCTATCTTTATTGACCATGGTGAAACATAGGGCAAACATATTCATTACCTATCTTTATTGACCATGGTGAAACATAGGGCAGACGTATTCATTACCTATTTTTATTGACCATGGTGAAACATAGGGCAAACTTATTCATTACCTGTTTTTATTGACCATGGTGAAACATAGGGCAAACGTATTCATTATCTATTTTTATTGACCATGTGAAACATAGGGCAAACGTATTCATTATCTATTTATAATTACCATGTGAAACATAGGGCAAACATATTCATTATCTATTATTATTGACCATGGTGAAACATAGGGCAAAGATATTCATTACCTATTATTATTGATTAGGTGAAGCATAGAGCAAACATATTCATTACGTATTTATAATTACCATGTGAAACATAGGGCAAACATATTCATTATCTATTATTATTGACCATGGTGAAACATAGGGCAAAGATATTCGTTACCTATTATTATTGACCATGGTGATACATGGGGCAAACATATTCATTACCTATTATTATTGATCAGGTGAAGCATAGGGCAAACATATTCTTTACCTGGTTTTATTGACCATGGTGATACATAGGGTAAACATATTCATTACCTATTATTATTGACCATGGTGAAACATAGGGCAAACATATTCATTACCTATTTATAATTACCATGATGAAACATAGAGCAAACTTATTCATTATCTATTATTATTGACCATGGTGAAACATAGGGTAAACATATTCATTACCTATTATTATTGGCCATGGTGATACATAGGGCAAACATATTCATTACCTATTTTTATTGACCATGTGAAACATAGGGCAAACATATTCATTATCTATTATTATTGACCATGGTGAAACATAGGGTAAACATATTCATTACCTATTATTATTGGCCATGGTGATACATAGAGCAAACTTATTCATTACCTATTTTTATTGACCATGTGAAACATAGGGCAAACATATTCATTATCTATTATTATTGACCATGGTGAAACATAGGGTAAACATATTCATTACCTATTATTATTGACCATGGTGATACATAGGGCAAACATATTCATTACCTATTTATATTGACCATGTGAAACATAGGGCAAACATATTCATTATCTATTATTATTGACCATGGTGAAACATAGGGTAAACATATTCATTACCTATTATTATTGGCCATGGTGATACATAGAGCAAACTTATTCATTACCTATTTTTATTGACCATGTGAAACATAGGGCAAACATATTCATTATCTATTATTATTGACCATGGTGAAACATAGGGCAAACATATTCATTACCTATTATTATTGACCATGGTGATACATAGGGCAAACATATTCATTACCTATTATTATTGGCCATGGTGATACATAGGGCAAACATATTCAT